GCACTGATTACGCGGTGTCATCTTATAAAATACTGCCATATTGTATCAGATTCCATAAAAAGACGGGCTGTAATTCTGTTTTCCACTTGTCCTGGTTTCCTCAGGACAGGTATGGCTTGGGTAATAATCAGGTTAAGCCCATTTATGTATGTGTATACAGCCCGCGACCTCTTTGGTTTACAGTTTTTCTGTAGAGGTTGTAAGGATCAAGTGGTTTAAATACAGTTTACGTTCGTTTCTTGGTTTTCTTACTTTAGTGCCTTGAGCTTATATCGTCAGAAGTTCACTTTTGGTACGACAATGGTTTTGTGACCCATCGTTACTGCTCTTAATTCGGTGATATTCCGTCTTCATAGACTTATTCCGTCCTATAGACTTCAGATTCATCGCTGGACCCACAAACTTTATCCTAGCCATTTTATTCTTGTAATTAATGGCCACTGTGATATCTGAAAGTGATATATGCAAAAATATGATTTTTTTGAATCAAAGATAACCGAACTGCCGATCCAGAGGGCAGATCATTGCTACGCAGTCGGTTTAGTCACTGGGTTCTGTTTTCGGACGTAAATTGTGGCTACTCTGACAAAGCTTTGCGAACTTCAGATGACAATTACACAGCTCTGTGTTGCTTTTTGTCTTCCATTGATGATACATTGTTTTTATTATTCAAGAATATACGGCACCAGCTATATACAAACGGCATTAGACCTGACAAAGACCAGTAAAGCTTCCTGTTTGCGTCGTAGAGCTGAATTGAATGACCTCCGCCCTGCTCGCTCACTTGGTGAGTATTTACCAGTTTGACAGTCTTTTGAATGTTTCAATTATTTAAGTATTATGACTAGTTGTAGCAGTACCAATGGTAGTGATGAAATTATCGATCTTTCCTGAATGTACAGGTAACCTCAGAGGATATGGTAAGGGTCAGTAATGGAATACTCTGATTATGAGTACAAACTCTAACAAATAGAAGTGATTTCTTCACCTTCGAGACTCGACCTCATGTTCGTATTTGTATCAGTCGATGAAAAAATTCTCGAGGAAGCAGCCATCTGGGTTCTGATATATTTTGCTTCGAACTGAGATCCACCGAAATCAGGAACCTTACAATACACAAATATATATTGTTTGTTGTGGTTGTTGTTCGGTCGAGACTTCAATCTCTAAGCAAAAGTTTGTTTTGTCCGTGGTGCAGGATCGAGACAAATTTCAAAGAGATTAAACAAAATTTTCAATTTTCAAAAATTGCTCAGAACGGCCTCCAACTTCGACTCACAGATCATCACGTTGCGATTGAAGACTATGGCTCGCATTAGCAAGGATATCATCGCCAAGGCACGTTCTGCAACTAAATTCGCGAGCTGCTTTATAGGGGTCTGTAAATCAGGTTCAAAGTAGTGTTTTCCAGCAGATTTAGCAACGTCTTGTTGACCGTAATAGCAACACCTTCGAGACTAGCCGAACAAAGTGGGTTGGCGATGTACAGTGACTTCATCATTAGATATCCTCAGGTGCCATATCCTCAGAATCGCAGCGTTTCTTGCTTCGCTCCCAGATGTTGCATTCGGCTGTGAAACTAAACTGCTGCTGCAGCGTTCGTGACCATTGATAGAGTTTGTGAATCTCAATGACATTCTTCCATCGATACGTGCGTGCAAGTAAAATATACTATGATGTAGTTGGGCTTTTTCTGCTGTAGTGACCTTCGTCAGATGTATACTTAAACGTGTAACTCGCTGAAGTAAAGAATTTTAATCATCAGAATATGTTCTTTGCTCGTACTTATGAGATGGGCACGGTACTCATCTACGTTTTTGTGTCATCAGGCAGAATTGCCTCATTTTGGAGACAATTTCTGTAGCTATGTGGTAGATACAGCAGGCGGATTTCGTTGTCCTTTCGTACAACGTAGTATTCATTTATCAGCCTTGGATTGACTACAGCGAATGACGTGATCATTGCTCGAGCCCATTACCTGCAGACTGTAGATTCGACGTTTTACCGACTGAGCTACCATACCGAAGGGCAACTGAATTGGCTGTCACCTGATACAATTCAGTTAGAAGTAGATTAATTGACAGAGGATCGAATCTCGATCGAACGGTTGCGAATTTGATTCCCAGTCAGGTAACTGACCATTGTTGATTTAGACTTGGCAAATAAATATCCTGGTTTGGAATAGAATAAGGAACCATCGCTTGTAGTACTGATCTGGCCCTAGAATATTTATATAAAGACTAATTTACTGTTGTCTTCCCGGGACGGCAAACAACGCTACGGTATTAGCTCCGTGAAAAGATCGTCTCATATTAATCCCATTTTGAGGTTATAAGATGGCGATTTACCAACAGTAACAAACTTTCCTGTTTTCTTTTCTGTTGTCTCGTGACAGGACTACTTTTGTGTATAAAGTGGTCGACTAACGTCTATAAGGCATGTAGTTATTGTAAATGCATTGAATTTACCATATTCTTAATTATCGTTTTTCTCCTTTGCGTTAGAATTTCGCGCTGGTACGCCCATGGAAGTTAGGCTTGTGGATGGATTCGTTGCTCGCATTGTTCTTTCTTTCGTCGGTTGTTTTCGCTGCAGGTAACTCTACACTTTTCGTAACTTGTCTGCTAGGTCGCTGTCTTTCAGACACCTCTGATGATTACGTAACATGCGGTTCTGTGTTGAAGTTAATAAACTCCAAGCATCGCACTCGTCTCCATTCACACGATATTAAATATGGTTCCGGTAGCGGTCAGCAAGTACCTTTTGATTGTTTGGTGTTGTAGTGACCACTCGTTCAGTCTGTTACAGGTATCACCGAACCGGACGACGCGAACAGCTACTGGGCCATCAAGGGAACCGCCGAAGAGCCTTGCAATCGAGGGTAACCAATGTTCTGTCATGTTCTTATGCGAATGAGCAGTGCATGTTTAGCGAAGCGATGAAATGTGGCTCAGTCATCCGATTGGAACATGTGAAGAGTGGCAAGCTTCTTCACAGCCACTTGATCAGCTCCGTTTTGTCACGTTGTCATGAAGTGAGTTGCTACGGCGATAAAGGCGAAGGCGACTTGGGTGATTACTGGATATTGAAGTGCCACGGTCAGTACTGGAAGCGCAGCGATGAAGTTCAGTTTATGCACCAGCAGACGAAATCGTACGTCATCTGTTAAAGTTTCTGTATTGATAAGCATTTGATTTGCGACCTTTAGATATTTGGCTGTGACGGATCAGGTTTATGGCAGGCCTATTCAAGGTCAGCACGAAGTTTGTGCCTATTCTTCTGAACAGCCTCGTGGAACTGAAACAAAGTGGCGTGCAGCAGAAGGCGTTTATTTTTTACTTAGCGATCATTGATAACGTCCTTTTATTCAGTTATTTCGATTTTCGTTTCAATGCGCTCGTTCGGCAAAGTTTTTAAAATAATTTTTATTCTCTTGCTGCCCGTCTGACAGTTTGTTGTTGCCACTTTATGATTTCTATTATTCCTCTTTTGCTGCTCTGGGCTCGAAACTTCGAGATCTCTGTTCAGATGGTCTAGCCAGTCAGTGCAGTTGCTCTTATGCACAGACCTCCATTGAGCTATTTGATCTGGCTGGAAATGTCAGCTGTTCGCTAGCCGACTATGATTCATGATTTAGTGATTAACAGTCAACCTAGCACGTTAATCACCCAAGATCTGCGATGTCGGTTGCGACATTGAATGTCGTGTGCAAATAGCTTTAACGTGCCGTGCATCAGAACTTTTGGCAGATGTTCCAGCCTTAACGCAAGCAACAACACTGTCATTCAGGTATGATCGTTTGTTTCAGTGCAGTGAGATTCAGAAGCTCAAGCAGAACTTCGTACAAATCTTGAATGGGGCGACCAATGACCATATCAGTTATGGCCAAGTACCTGAAAGGTCGCAGGTCAAGTGTGCTTATGTACGGAAGCTTCAGTTCGGATCGTACAATTTCAGCTGTTGGTGCATAGGCTTAAATTCATCAGCTGATATCCTATAATCAGCGATCGTTTTGTCGCTGTAGCACATAATGACAGCGTGACAGACCGGGGCCGATGGGGTGGCTGTTATTTAGTTTGCTGTTTTTCACGTTCCAACTGGCTGAACGAGTCATACTATGGCTTCATTAAGAATACCACCACAGTAAACACGACTGGCATTGATTCCCACAACTGCAAGACTTCCAGTAGCTGTTCGAGTCTTCCAGTTCTACGATCCCTGCATCAAACTGAACGAGCGGTCAGTACTAGACCAAGTGATAAGGAGGTGCCTGTTGGCCACTGCATGTGCCATACTTAGTATGGGGCGAATAACGACTAGTCCGTTATTTAAAGTTTGATAGCTTAAACAGAATCACTTACGTAATTATCGGTCTTGTCTGAAAGACCGACATAGGCACCATGTCATGGAAAACGCAAACCTGTCGGCAGTAAAAGCGGCCGATGAAGAAAGCAACATAGAAAACAAGAATTCTTGTATTTTAAGATCGCAGGATGCCAGCTCGAAAATAAGTTAGTCGAAAAGCAAAATTTAGAAACGGGCTAAATGCATTCAACTTAATAATCATCAATGTAAGAGCATGAAGTAACGGGTCCGTGAATGTCTTCCAAGCATGGTCATGCAGTGTCGTTTGCAACGACAGCTGTTGACAGTCATGCACTGTTGGTTGTTTTTGTCGCCTAAATCTCTCGGAGAAGCCAAAGCGTCAGACATTAATCTGAATACTCCGTGTTTGACCCTCAGACAACGATGACAATAACATTGGTCGCTTGTGTAAGTGTGCACCAGAGAAAAAGAACGTTGCTCGTGGTGGCAGTCTTTCCTTAAAAAAACATCTTGTTGCTCCCTCATTTCGAACCGTTCATTCCATATGGAACCAGTTGAATGAGTCGGCTGAATTACAAATCGAAGAGTCTTGCCTCTGTTGAAGGTCTATTGTCTTTGTTGAATTGACCATATACAAAGAAATTTTGTAGAGGTGGAATTTTGACATTTGTTCGAAGGCAAAAGAGTATCAGTCCAGTAACCTATTTTTAAGGTGTGTTATTCCTTTATTGTTGCAGAGACAGATGTTTCAGGAGGCTAATCCAGTGGGATCCCTCATCAGTCAGGTAAGTTTCAAG